ATGCGCATGCCCAAACTGAGTTAAAAAAAAACACACGCCGGCGCCCGCTGCATGTGAATGGGCATACAGTGATGGGCTCCGCAGACAGGAGGTAAGTGTGATCACGTTTCAGCCTGCATAAACTGCACCGGCTTCCCATTTGCTTCTGGGCACAGTTCAAAGTGCTGGGACCTTGGAGTCTCAGAGCGGCTTACAAACTCCTTCCCCTTCCCCTCCCCACAACAGACACCCTGTGAGGTGGGTGGGGCTGAGAGAACTCTGACACAAACTGCTCTTTTTCAAGGACAGCTGTGCCAGAGCTTGTGACCGACCCAAGGTCATATCAGCAGGGGCAAGTGGAGGAGTGGGGAATCAAACCTGGTTCTCCCAGATTAGAGTCCACACACTTAACCACTACACCAAACTGGCTCTAAATGACTTTACTCTTAGATTCTCAGTCGATATCTAAACTGGATATCGTGAGAAGGATGTATAGTTCCAATCCCATAGCGGCTTGGATCTACCGGCGGTACCTTCTCTTCCTTATTGACCAGTTCCATCTCAAAGTAGGCGACCATCAAAATCACAAACAACTTCATTTCACTAACAGCAAAGAAGCGTCCCGGGCACATGGAAGGCCCGGCGCCCCACGGCATGTTGTAATGTCTTAGCTTTTTCCCATTTTTGTAGAATTCTTTCCTTGTGCCATCTGGGTTCACGAACCGATCGTATTTGAAAGTCTTAGGATCAGGGTAGATTTCAGGATCCATCTGCAGGCCGATGAAGGGGAAGAGAATCAGCTGGTCTCCTTTCCGGAGGCTGTAGTCTCTCCCGTCCGCCATTTTAAGATCCATATCTTCCATTATGCTTCTGAACAGAAAGGGACTTACTTTCAAGCGTAGACATTCCTGTATCGCGCTGTCCAAAAGAGGAGTCTTGACTGATTCAAAGGATATCTTGAGCAAGGGACTGCCTGGCTTGACCTCCTGATTTGTCTCCTTTAGGACTCGGTCGACTTCTCCCTTCACTGCCTTCATCGCCTCTGGATGTGTCAGGAGATGGACAAAAACCCAGAAGGTAGCTGGCCCAGTGTTCACTTGTGATGCCCAGAAAAGGAGAAAGAAGAGCTGAGTCCGCATCTTTTTGGTCATCCCAGCCTCAACCATCTGGTGATCTTGCTCGGCCACCCAGTTGCTGACACCGTCCTTCTCCGTCACCTTTTCTACAGACAGCACATCCCAGAAGAAGTTCCTCAGCCTCTCCGTCTCCCTCTTGCTCTCAGGATCCAGCATCCCCATGACCATCTGGGGAAGGTAGTGGTCAAATTTCTGAAAATCCTCAAACCATTCTGCACACTGCGGTGCTCTGCTATCCTTAGAAGTCCCTTTGCGATCTCCACTTTTGGGGGAATCGCTTCCAAACAACGTCAGGAAAGCAGCTTGAAACATGGCCTTGTAGCTGAAGTGGAGGACCCCGTCCTGCTGCCATGGTCTTTCTCCGCCGCCGGAGCCCTGGTTCCGGAGCAACACCGCCTGCAATTTCTCCGTCATCACCTGGTTCAGATCCTCCAGATTCCGATTTCTGAGATACTTCTTGTTGTTTCTTTGCAGAATCTTGTGATTAGATTCACTAAGGTAGAAACCAAAGACGTTATGAACTACTTCGGAACCAAACGTATCGAAATCCAGCTTGTCTTTGGACTCCTTTATGACCGTCCCGTAGGTGTGAGGGTCCATCATGAAATTTAAATAATTGCCTCCAACCAACACGGTGAAGATATCCCCGTGTTTCTTCTGCATCTTCTCCAAAAACTCCGCAGGGTTCTTCTTGAAACTTATCCCGTGTCCTAGCCATGGGATGAGGCCTTTGTCCAACGGCGGTTCTTTGGGTCTTCTCCTGCGGAATGCGCCTGTCAAATACAGCCCGCCAAGTACAGAGGTAAAGAAGGAAGCTAACAGAGCGGAAAGCACGGATTCCCAGAAATACATCCCTGGTGCTTAGAGCAGAGAAGATTTAGTCAAAGGGATAGAAGAGCCGCAGCTCGTCCTATAAAGCAACCAATCAGAGGGCTCATCTAGGTGGGGCGGCCTAATTCTATGTCTGGCCTGCCAGAGGAAGCTGTGGTTGTTGTTTTTCCCTGGAGTCATTTGTAGCATGCCAATATTTACTTGCACCTTCCCGGGGAAGATGACATTCAACTTTGCAAGTAAAACGTGATGATTGGTAGGAGTTTCTGTAAACATGTTATTATCGGACTGAAATCCTGGTCCCATTACTGTGTTACTTGTAGAGTATGAAGGTTGCCTGCTCCATGATTCACCCCGAGTGCCACCTCATCAGACAGCCGGTGATGTTAACACGATAGAGCAATTTCCTCCCTCCACCTGAGAAAGGCTGTGAGCCAACATACACACGTGTCGACAGGTACAGATATCAACAGATACAGGTAAGATAACGCTTTGCTTCTCTCCTCAAATGAAATGGATTATCTGGGCAGTTTTGTAATGGGAACCTCTATTCCCCATCGTGGTGAGACCTACAGGGTTTAAATCGATTTGTGTCCGGTGGCACCTTAGAAACGAACAAGAATTTTGTGGCAGGAGCTTTTGAGATTCAAAGTTCTCTTTGTCAGCCGCTCCTGGACTTGTATCTAGACCTTCTGAAACTTTCTTCAGGATTTAAACTCCATTAGTTGAATAAAGAGACTCAGATATCAAGATGAGTTATTACTATGTTAAATTTTGTCTATTGCATGCATGGAACTATTCAGTTTTTGTAAAACTAGTGCTGTGTGTGGGTATGTATATATTTATCACAGTCATTAGACCACCCGTATACATGAAAATTATAATAAAACATTCTTATATATAAAAACGAAACACATAATATAAACAGAATTTAAATTTGAGCCGAGTTATTATACCATTTCCGTATCCTCATGATCAACACACAAACTCTAGCAACTTGGTAAGTAATTTTAGGATTCGTGTCAGACAGAAGAAATCCAAGCCTGGCTTTATTTGTGTGACCAGCAATCTTGTCCAGTAGAGGTGTAATAATCTCCAAATGGGCTGCATTATACTATGTACAACTAAAAAAACATATGCTCTAGGGACTCTACCTCCCTTTCATTTATTTTATTCTTTTTTTTTTTAAACCCCCCGGGGGGGTTTTTATTTTTTTCAATAATACTACAAACTACAAAGAAAAATATAGGAGGGGGAACTACAACTATGGATAAATGAAAAATACCCACACTAACTAAAAACCCAAGAGTGGGAGACCCCCTTTATGTTAAACTTAATATTAGTATTAAAAGAGTTAGTAAAACAATATACTTGTAGAGTTCTTGTTTTTCACATTGTTCTGTATTAGTAAATTAGTTATTATGAGAGAACTTTCTGAGCATCTTCTTTATTTCAAAGAGCCATTTATCAGAGTCCTTCTGCCCTTACTTCGGCTTTCTGTCTCTAAAATCATATACAGTTTTCACTGCTCCCGCACCCGCTTCTGCAGCAGAGTCCTCATCC